CTTATTAAACTTATTTTAGCATGATTTAGTACTTTTAAATTATGATCATTTTCTTTATGACTTGTTAATTTGCAATATTTGTTTTACGCGATTTCATTATTATTATTTTTGTTGGATATTTTAGTGTCATTAATCATATTATATTGTGTTATATTTTTAAAAAACATCTTAGATAGTTGTACTTTGGTAGAACTAAAAAAATATTTGAAGTACAAGTAAATTATATGTTTGTATGAATACTTTATCGGAAAAACCAGAAAAACCCAAAAAAATCCGAAAATACCCGAGGTTGAAAAACCCGAGTTTTATTGGTTTGGTTTGGTTTATAAATTTAAAAATCCGACACAAATGGTTTGGTATGATATTTGAAAAACCCGAACCAACCCGGCCATGTACACCCCTAATTGTAACTAATGTAATTATACAAGAGACAAACATACTTTTATTGTTTTGATAAAGGACAAATAGACCTTATTTGCATTTTCCGCAATTATGATTCCCTACTTATGATTATCTTTGCCTAATATTGTGGGTGAAATAGGTTAACGAAGAATCTTACTGGCTCTTTGAAGTTCATGAAGGGAGGAAACCTGGGCCGCACAATGTTGGGAAGTAGGAGAACATATAAAGTAGTTTTGATGATTGATAAAGTGAACATGGTTCACTACTTGTTGTCTTATGTGTACTCTATCAGGTGAACCAGGTTCTCAGACGTGACTGCAGACGACCTGTACAATTATGAGAGATTGTGGCAAAGAAGAAAAAGTGCAGAAATAAAGAAGGAAAAGAAGGAAACAAATATGGAAAGAAATAAAAAAGTAGCAATTCAAGTCAAATAAGGAAATAAATAAAGAAGTAACAATTCAAGTCAAATAAGGAAAGAAGTAAATATAGACAAGTTCAATAAGGAAAAGGATTTGTTATTCCTTTCCTTGTAGAAGTTGATGAAGGCAAATCAAACTCTATAAAAGGTTCAAGACATTGAAGGAAAAAAGTCGTCTTTGCAAAAACACAAATCGAGAGAATTTTCCAGCAAAGCCAGAACGATACCTATTGTATATTCACGAAATTTATCATCTTGAGAGCAGTAGTTATTGGAGAAAAAACGCAGGGCTTCGTCACAGCAACGTAAGGACCAGGTTCACGAGTTATGTTCCACTCTGAACTATTGAATGTTGAAATCTGATCAATTAAAGTCTAGGATTATTAGTCTTTGTGGATTTTTTCTAGGTTTATTATTGAGTTGTAATAATTCCTAGATTGTGTAACAAGAAGTGGGTTTGACTTCTTGGGAAGTAGAGTCTTGAGAAAATTTCCACAAGAAGTGGGTTTGACTTCTTGGAGAGTAGAGTCTTGAGAGAATTGTAACAAGAAGTGGGTTGACTTCTTGGGGGTAGAGTTAAGAGAGAGTTGTGAGAGAATTGTAACAAGAAGCGAGTTTTGACTTCTTGGAGAGTTGAGTGTTCGATTATAGCTAATTGTTGGAGAGTTAAAGGTACTAGAGTTAGTTCCTTTTGAGTTGTAATCCTAAAAAGGACGTGAATCTTGAAGTGAATAAGATTGTGGTGTGGTTTTTACCTTCCTTGAGGTAGGAGGGTTTCCACGATAAAATCTTTGTTTTATTGTGTTGTAACAAAAGTACAAGAACCTGGTTCTTGTATAGGGGTAATGTTTCTTCAATTGGTATCAGAACATGTCTTTTCATTAAAAGACTCACATCTTGAAAAGGATCAATGACTGCACCACCTACACCACAAGAAGGAGCTTCTCAAACTCGACCACCACTGTTTAATGGAAAGTATTATGGATGGTGGAAGAACCGCATGATGGATCACTTACTAGGAGAAAACCCAGACCTATGAGGAGTCGTGCTGGACGGTCTAACCATACCCATGAAGAATGGAACTGATGGAACCACTCAAGTACCAAAGGATAGGAAAGAATGAAATGTTGCGGATAAACTTGCAATTCAGAACAATGCTAAAGCAAAAAAAGATCTTGATATGCAGAATAGGTCCAGATGAATACAATCGAATCTCATCATGTCAAGATGCAAAAGCAATATAGGAAACTCTGCAAACTGCGCATGAAGGAACAACTCAGGTAAATAAGTCTAAAATTGATAATTTGAACAGACAATATGAACTGTTTCGAATGGCAGAAGGTGAAACAATCCAAGTGATGCACACCAGGTTCACTGCTATCATTAATGAAATCTACTCACTAGGAGAAATAATTCCCAATGGGAAAACAGTCAGAAATTTTTTGAGTGTTCTTCCAGAGTCTTGGGAAAGCAAAGTAGAAGCCATTACTGAAGCACGTGATCTAGATAAGTTAGCTATGGATGAACTCATCGGAAATCTCATGACCTATGAACTCAAGAAAAAACAAGAAAATGAAATTGGAGGCAAAAAGAAGAAGAAGAACATGGTTCTTAAAGGCACAACACCAAAAGATTTTGAGGATGAAAACATTGCGCTAATGACCAAAAGGTTCTCAAGAATGTTAAAAAAGGGACAAGTGTTTCAAAGAAGGAACTCTCAGAAAACCACTAAAAATCTAATAGATCAAGTATGTCACAAGTGTGGAAGTCCGGATCACTTTATCAAGTTTTGCCAATTAAAAGCTCTAGAGAAAAATAGGAACAGTTTGAAGAAAGTAAAAGAAATCAAGAATGATAAGTACATTCCCACAAACAGACGAATGACCAATCAAGAAGCTGATCACTCAATGAAAAGGGCCTTCGCCGCTATGGGGGGTTCATCAAAAGAAGAATCTGAGGATGGATGATTCGAAAATCAATCACTACTTGCAATAGAACAAACAAATAAATATGATTTTCTTGCACTCATTGCTGAAATAAATTCTGAAGATGATGAAGAAGATGACAAACAAAGCAAGGTAAGTCTTCACCACATTAAAGTAAATATTGATTCATATTCTAAAAGAGAACTAGAATCCCTATTGAGTACTCTTATAGATGCATATTAGTCAATCAGTTCTGAAAGAGAACAAATGATGGAAAACTATGCATCTTTAAGAGAAGAAAATGACAATCTTGAGAAACACAATCAGTGTCTTCAAAATAAATTAAAAAACAGGTTAAGACCTCAAAGTTAAGTCACAAGGGCAAAAACTCTGCTAGTGAACTTCATTTAGCTCTGGAAGAAAAAATAAAACAGTTAACCATTAATTGCCAGGCCTTAACTGAAAGAAATAGGCTGCTACAAGAAAATCTTAATCATACCAAACTTGATTTGGAACGAAATCTTAGATGGACCAGGTCCTCTGAAATTTTAACTCAAATTCAAGAAAGGCAAACCACCAGTCGAAGTGGGATAGGTTTTAGAAAACAGAATAATCTAGTAGCACACACTATTCACATGTCTAAAAGTTTATGCACTCATTGTGGAAACTCAGGTCATTTAAAGAATCAATGTAAAGCTCTATTTGAGGCCTTTCAGAAAAATGTTAAGTTCACCAAAAAGGAAAAGGCTGAAACGGTTAAGAACCTGGTTCCAAATAAAAATGCTCCAGATAAAAGGTGAGTCTATTTGCCTTTATGGGCTAGAAGAAATATTATTCATCCTTTTACTCACAAAAAGGGCCCCAAGCTAATTTGGGTTCCCAAGACTAATCTTTGACTAGTGTTTCAGGTGAAGGTGAGAGGGAAAAGGTCAACCTGGTACATGAATAGTGCATGCTCCAAAAAGGTGCTAAAAATGGTAGAAAATTTCCTCTTGCTCTTTGATTTTCAAGGCGGCAGTGAAGTCCTTGAAAAGGATGAAAAAAACGAAAGAGACAAGATTGAAAAAGTTGAAGAAAGTGACATGATATCAAACATCTTTGATGATGCAAATTTAGGGAACATTGCAAATGAACCTGGTTCACATCTAACAATCATTGATGCACCTGCATCAGAAGTTACTGGACTAACCCATGGTCTCGGAGATAGGGGGAATAATAGAGCAATCAGGACACTTAGAGTATGGTACACCTTCAGGGGGAACTTCGTTGTGTGAACCTGGTCCTTGTTATTCAATGGAAGTTATTGAAAATTGATTGGAGTTGGTTCTCTGTTACTCAGATTGAGATTCCTTTGATCTGGGAGAATATGATGATGCAGACATACTCATGAAGGCCTTGAATATGAAGAACTTGAGAAAAATCAACCAAAGTCTGGTCTTATCGAAACAAGCTGATGCATTATTATGATTTCCTTTAATAATTGGCTAGTAAACTAATAATTTTATGCTTGAGTAATTATACAATGAATATTTGCTAACTCAGTCTCGTACTGCAACAGGTACACACTCCAGGCACATCTCAAA